GATGAAGGAAAATATCTGGCTTAAACATAGCAGGGTCGCTATGTACACATATAACCTCGGAATTATCTGAAGGCCATGAGAGAGCGGGGCTCAATGGAAAGGGGTTGCCAAATTATGGCGAAAAGACGAGGACAGGTTGTAAAGCTGAGATGATTTTCTCCAGGGTATCGTGAAGTTGTCAGGACTTTTTGGTCAGATACTCTACTCATCTGACCGTACCCGACCTTGCAACAACGAGCAGCCGGACGAAACAACACCCCAAGAACCATAAGAGCATAAATCACTTAATTTTAGTACGAGTCTTACGCACTTTCAATATAATTAGGTCACACAAGTGCCAAATGTAAGGGGTGTTACAACAGAGTAGAATGAACAAACAAAAAAGGAGGAGCGAGGACGATGATATCTGATGTTTGACAGGAAAGAAGGAGCTAAAAACACTAGAGAACCTGCCAACCACCCACCTACTAGGCCTTGCTGAACCAAACAGCCAGACAAATGAGCACCCCATGTTAACAATAGGGGTGTGAACTCGCAGGGCTGGGGGGTTCACAAAGTGTGTCGTGACACAGAAGAAACAGGCGCTCGTACGTTGTCGGGGCATTTGAAGTTACTGATATTATCTTTAAAGCTTGTATATTTTTCTCTTGCCCTTGATGAAAAGAAACCCCATCTATCTTGAATACACGTAGAGACATTTGCAATTGAATGAGGGAGGGGTTGCCTGGAGTCAGAGGAAATATTAATTAGCGAGAAAACGATCGTCAAGGTTCGGTGACTTCCAAATCTTTCTATCCCTTTGATCAACGTTTTCAGTTTTAAATTATTTTTTTTAATCCAGTAACAAATGCAATTTTTAATGGTTATGGGGTGTTGAGCAAAAAACAATTTTAAAAAATAAAAAATAAATAATGAAGAAAAATTGCATACGGGGCGGGAAAATGCCAGTTTCTCCGATTTCACTATTTTGACAAGCGCCTGATTTTGTTTGTTTGTTTGTTTTTTGTAAAGTGTTTTACGGCGCTCGCAACTGCATAAGGTCATATAAGCGCGCGGGACACACTTAATATTTTCAGTTGGTAGGAAATTTTGAATTTTGCCCGGGTGGCGGCTGAAGCCTACTCTTATCGATTT